TTAATTCTAATGTTTCTCTGTTTATTTTTTGTTCAGATGACTTTTCTACTGAACTGGAGAAAATAGAGTATTGAAATCACCTACTATTAATAGGTTGATTTTTTTTGTGTCTTTTATTTAAGTAATACTCTGTTCTTGTTTTCTTTTATGAAACTGGGTGAACCAGAATTTGGTACATATGTGTTTAGGAGATAGTAATCACTTCTTGGTTAAAAATATTCTTTTGATCAATTTTAGTTCAAAGTCTATTTTTGAAAGTTTATGGTTTAACAGTGTTGGCTTTGTGTGTTAAATTAACAAAGGGTCAATTGTAATGGCTAGTTTATGTAGACTGGACACAAGCAAGAGCCATTTTGAAGTTCCACTAGATTGGACCGTGGGAAAGCCTGTGGTGCATTTTCTTGATTGGTGTTTTGATGTATGAATGCCCAGATCACTGTTGGTGCTGCCATCCCTGAACTGGTGTTCCTGAGTACTATAGGAAAACAGGACAAATAATCTATGAGAAGCAAGACAGTAAGCAGAAATGTACTATGGCCTCTGCATCAGGCCCTGCCTTCAGATTCACACCTTGAGTTCTGTGTTGACTTCCTTGGATGATAGAATGTAAGCTATATGATGAAATAAACCCTTTCACACCCAAGTTGCTTTTCTTGGTCAGATGTTTTCTCACAATAGTAGAAACTCTAAGACTATAACACAACAAGGCATTTTTTAATGAAAAATACATGGGTCCTCATGGCCTCGAGAATTAAAACGTGCATTCTTTCTGTACCTGGAAAGTCTCTGCCACGGGTGCCTGGCCGTAGAATCAGAGACTTCTGTTAGCCTGACCTTCAGCTATGATACAATGCAGAGGTGAGCACCCTTGGGGAGGTAGGCTTAGGATTATAGTTAGGAATTTAGAGTGTGAATCTTGTGTGATGACCCCCAGCATAATAAAACTTTTGTTATACTAACTACATGTATCTATACTCTTGCTCAAGACTCTTGGTTTCTGTTTTCTCTCTGGTCATTTGGCTTGTATCTCTTGTGGTTAGCAGAGGGTCTCCACTCAAGTTGGGGCTGGACTTCTGGTGGCTGGCATGGTCTCTTTCAAGCAATGTCTCTGCTCCAGTTGGTGGCAGGAGTCCTGGCGGCAAGCTTGGGCACTGATATAACAGGGAGTCCATGCCTGAGTTAGAGGCTGGAGTTCTGGTGGCCAGTGTGGTCTCTGGTCCAGTAGGGAGTGTCCACTCGAGCTGAGGGTTGGGATATATGTGGTTGATATATTGTGCACCCCAATAAACTTATCTGGGCGTCAGATAACAGAACAGCCACTATATTAAACATAGGTTTAGGCAGTGGTAGCACACACATTTAATCCTAGCATTCTGGAGGCAGAGATCCATCAAGATCTCTGTGAGTTCAAAGCCACACTGGAAACAGTTGAGTATGGTGACACACGCCTTTAATCTCAGGAAGTGATGGCAGGAAGCAGAAAGGTATATAAGGCATGAGGACCGGAAACTAGAGCCTTGTTAAGCTTTTAGTCTTTTAGTAGCAGTTCAGCTGAGATCCATTCAAATGGAGACACAGAGGCTTCCAGCCTGAGGAAACAGGATTGGCTGATGGCAAGGTGAGGTTAGCTGTGGTTTGTTCTGTCTCTCTGATCTTTCAACATTCACCCCAATACCTGACTCCAGTGTAGCTAGTTTTCCTGCCTGGCCCACAGTCAGGACAAATCTCTGTCACCTGCCAGTCCCATAGCCACTCAGACCCAAGCAAGTAAACACAGAGACTTATATTGCATACAAACTGTATGGCCGTGGCAGGCTTCTTGCTAACTGTTCTTATAGCGTAAATTAATCCATTTCTATAAATCTATACCTTGCCACATGGCTCGTGGCTTACCGGCGTCTTCACATGGTGCTTGTCATGGCAGCAGCTGGCAGTATCTCCTTCTGCTCAGCCTTCTACTTCCCAGAATTCTCCTCACCTTGTCCCGCCTACTTTCTGCCTGGCCACTGGCCAATTAGTGTTTTATTTATGCAGAACGATATCCACAGCACTCCAGGTTTGTTTTGATTAATAAGACCTTTTAAGATTTGTACTACAGATATGGCCATGAAGAGGGAAAGGGGACTGAAGATAAGGTGGTGGCCTTCCTGGTCTTTTGGCAAATGTGGCCTGTGGTTAGGCAGGGGGTATAGTGATGGGAGGGGTTGTCAGAGGACACCTGGCCTATCTGGTCTTCTGGCAGGAGTGGCCTCTGGTTGAGCAGGGATGTTTGCCCCCAGAGGAGGCAACAGGAATATCAAATAAGTGGCAGAGATGGAAGAGCAGGCTCTTGAGGGAAAGAGGCACAAGAGGGTACAGGGACTTGACAGAAATACCCACACCTGGGACAATCTCCTAATTGTGTTTGATCTGTGCATTCAGTTTTTGTTAGGGGATTTTTCAGTGATATTGATCTCATTGAGAGTTCTTCTATTCATGGCTTGATAGACACTATGAAGAGCCCTGTTATTAAGAGTCAGAGGGTCAGCTTTGGTCTGGGAGGATTGAGAACTGCCTAGGCTACAGTTGTATGCAGACTCCTGGTCTTCTCCTAGCATTGTAATTTATTAGTGAAAAATCATGTAAATTCCCCATCCTGGGAGCCTCCAGTCTCTTAACCTAGGAAATGTGATAAAGCCTGATTAAGTCTGGTAAAAATCTGCCAATTAGGACATCTAGAATATGTGCCCTGCATGGAAAGGCCCTTGTGCAGTGCCTTGAGTTGGGAAACTATAGTGAAAGGCAGGCAGCTGTTATTTCCATTAGTATTTAATTGCAGCCCCTTCTACCCTGGGGTGGTACTGTTCTCAAGGACATATCAGATAATATGTAACAGAGTGGAACATAGAATAGCAAATCTGCCACAATGAAATTTCAAGAACAAAAGTCCCCAAACCCTCATTTTTGTTAGGTACATTGAAATCTGGGTGCTAATTAGTCTTCCTAACAGGAAAGTTCATAGAATGTGAGTCAAGGACCAGTTCTTCTCCCTATCTGCTTTTCTAGCCAAAGCATTATTTTCAATCATTCACCAGTTCCCCCAAAACTTGCATCTCCTTAGAGATGGCAAAACTGTACTGGACTAACTAAATGGAATTATTTCCTTATGGTCAGGGAGATGCATCCTAGGTTAAAAGTACTAGCTGCTCAAGCATGATGATTTGAATTATATCTCTAGAACTAATAAAGCAGGTTGAAGCAGAATGAATCTGTAATGCTAGCAGTTTCTTGGCAAAATGAGAGGCAGAGATGGGAGAACTGACCAGACTATCTCAGCCTAGCTAGCCTAAAGTATATAGTGCAGCATCAGAAACAGGAGAGATTATGACTCGATGAGGTAGAAGGCAAGACCCAAACTGAAAGGTTTCCTCTGCCATCCATACCCGAACTATGGCATGCATCCATACTTACACATATGTATTGACACACAGATATGGGTTTTTAAATTTGCTTCATTGATTGATCTTTAAGTTTAACATTATCTGGGGCTTGAGAAAAGACTCAGCTGTTAAGAAAATTTGCTCCTCTTGCAGCAGACCAGAATTTGCTTTCTAGCACTCAAATGGAGGCTCACGACCATCTATAACTAGTTCCATGTGATCTGGCATCTACTTCTGCCCTCCCTAGGTACCAGGGACACATGCTTGAGTTAGTATACATGCAGGCAAAACCCCCATATACATAAGAAACAGTTAACATTATCTTTTTTTAAATCTGCATTGTTTTGTGGCATGTATGTCTGTGTGAGAATTCTAGGTCCCCGAGAACTAGAGTTACAGACAGTTGTGAACTGTCATGTGAGCACTGCAAACCAAACCCTGGTCCTCTAAAAGAGCAGTCAATGCTCTTAACTGCTGAGCCATTAGCTTAATAATCACCTTTGTATCTCCTTAGCAGGAAGGCAGCAGAGGCACTAAGAGTTCTGGGTCTCACTTTTCCATGATTCCTTCATGTGGCAGAAACCTATTCCAGAGAATGGAGGCAAACTATGCAGTCTAGGTGGTGTGTTCAACTGAAATTCCCATTTCTGCCACCTCTCCACCTTTTGGTTGTGTTTTTAGTTGATATGTGTTTGCTACACCCTAGTCTGATTCCTCCCTACGGTGTCTACCATCTAAAGGAACTGCTCAGAATAGTTTTCTCCTCTCTCAGCCCTAAATCAGTCATATCATCAAAAGGCCAGGCATTTTTGACTTTGTAATTTTATTAAATTCAACTGCCCCCAAGAGGAAATTGTCATTTCTGAGCCTTCCAAACTGCCTTGGTTTAAGATGTTGACACTATGCTGCTTTCCCTTGGAAACCACTCTGCAGTCCTCCTAAAGCCTAAAAGGACTTCTGTCTTTCTCCTGCACTCACCCTTTCTACAGGTGATGGGACATCTGGCTTCTCCTATGTCCCACTGCTAAGAACAGGCCTTGGAAAGAGCAGGTAGTCAGAGACAGTTTGGGGAAGAGATTTCATCTAGCATAGATTAGCCATAATTTTAATTAGTTAACCAGAATGAGAACCTGAATATAGTAAGACAACAGAAAATTAATTTTATTTTGTTTTTAATGTTAACACCAAGTTCTTTTCCATGGTCCACTAAATTCCAATTTCAATGCCATAGTCTCTTGTGGTATTACAAATTAGAAGGCAGTTTAATTTGTTTTCAAAATAATATATTTCTTCTAACCTGAATCAACAATAGATGTATTACTAATGTCATTTGGAAAAAAAAATCATCTCAATCTAATGAATGATGCCGTAAATGCAGCAACATTTTGAAATACCAAGAATCCCCAAATCACCCAAATCAACAGTAAGAGTGGAATGGTTTATACTCCCCTCTTGCCAGCTCTCAAATGAGGGTCAACTACTTAGATCTGCATAACCTGATCTTGGTTGGAAACTGCTAGTGTACTTGAACTGGTCACGGCAGTAGCATCATCATCCAGGTAACTCTGGCCTAGGTCCGCTCTAACTGTTCATAAAAAAAAGCTCTGCATACTTGGTGCCATAGGATCTGGGATTTCTCCTAGTGACCCTAGAAAAAAAGGTCAAGATGTTCATCTTGGTGGTTTCAACATAGACCTGTGGGCCCCACAGGAAATCATGGCAAGGAGGGTTTCTGCCAGGAACCTGCCTATATTGCAGGTACCATTCCTGCACAAAATCCTCAAAAATTAGTTTCCTGATCTCCCCAAATATGGAATGATACTGCTCAGCATACAGCCCCACTTTATTCAATACATGCCAGAATCTCTCCTCATTGATACAGTTGTTCTATATGAAGATGATGCCAAGAATGATTATTGACAGGCCTGTCTTGGGTATGCCCTGAGCACCATGCAGCAACCCATCGTAAGTGATCCCCAGGGCAGTGACAAGGATATAGGAGTGATCATCAGGATCTACTTCTATCATGTCAATGCCAAAGATCAGCTTCATGCACTCATATGCCTTATTGAAGATCATAGGGTAGTACTCCTTTTAATTTCTAACAATCATATCCTGCATATCTGTCTCACTGACTAGCTGCTTCCTGTGATACTTGAGGAACAGGAATCGCAGCAACTCAATTATTTTTGTATTTAATGTAGCCTCTGAGGGGAAATAAGTGTCTTCCACATCCTCTATTTGGTTCGCAGAAGCCTCACCAGATGGTACCCCTGCAGTGGAGCCCATAAAAGGGGGAAAAGTGGAGGCTCTTTGAGAACTCTGGGGAGAGCTTTGTGTTCCTTCATCAGATACCTCCCCTGAAATGTTGGCAGTGTCCTCTGCCTCCACTGCTTCAAGAATGGCAACCTGTGCACTCTCTAGGCTCATTTCCTCCCCTGGGACCTGAATATTGTTCAGGAGATTGCACCCCTGGTTATCCCCAGCATGATCCTTCCTGACTTTCTTTGGTAACAGCAGGTAGGAGAATGTGTAGTCACAGCAGTGAAGACTCATAGGCCTGAGGGATAAGGAGAGAAGGTGAGTGGACTCTGACAGCTGTTCATTGGGCAACTCTCAAATATACCCGTTACAGGATTTAGCTTGGGTAGTTCTCTAGAGCCAAATGATTCTTGCCTTGCATGTGCCATTGAGACCTTGAAAGAGGAAGAAACGTGGCTACTCAGGGTCTACCATTTTCTTGGCTGGCACAAAGTTTAAGAACAAGTTTTTCGGAGTTTGAGCTCAACAGAAAGCAGTGAGGGTACCTTACACCTCCTTACACCTATTCAAGGGTAACTGAGAGATAGCCCAGTAAAGAGTGGTCCCTTGATCCTATGATGGGAGACCAGCCTAATCATCACCTTGATAAATTGTGAGGTTCAGAAAGTTCTGTGTGATTGTTGGGTTCACCTTCCCTAAGGCAAAAGACTATTTCATTGAGTCAAAAGGAAGAAGAGGGGATCTACATAAAGTACCTATATTTTTCTCTCAGTGCCAAAAGAATGGCTGAGATAGCTAATGGTTCCCTTCATGTTTGGCTGTTGGGACTTCCTGGGTTCTTACCTTGAGTATTGGCACATCCAGTCCAACCTCTGATGACTCGCAACAAGATGCTCTCAACAGATCCTTCAGCTTCCTTATGCTATTCCTGAAAACAAGACAGGGAGATCAGACTAACAGCACTGCTCAGAAATGTTTGGATGGCATATCAGGGAAGACTTTTATCATACAGCAGCATCACACCTGGTGCCAGGTTACATAAAGCAGGAACCTTCAATCTGAAAGTGTCTCTGTAGGCAAGCTTGTGCTGTAACCTTGACTCGATAATGTGCATACCCCACCAGGAACCAAATATGGATGTGAAAAGTTAGGGTGTTTATTCCTGCAACTGAGCACTAAGTAACCTCAATATACTGCTCCAAGTGCCCCAAGTCACAGAGAGCAAGTTCAGAAGTTTAAGAAGGAACTCATTTTCACACTTCTGCCTTGATTTGGTTCAGCACTATCAAAAGTATACAATATGGCATGATTAGCCCAGCCTGGCTGTCTTGGGGAGTGGCGACTGCAACCCACACTCACATCTCAATAAGATTAATTAAAAAAAACCTGGCACTTTACTCTTTCAGATCCTGCAAAATGAGTGTAGGGGAAGGAGGGAAAAAGTCTTATTCCTCCAAGTATACCACAGGTGTATTATCATTTGGATACCCCTTAGACAGACTGTAGCTTCAGCAGTCAACTCTCAGACCCCACTACAATTATAAAGAGAAGCTGCCTTGTGAGAACAAATAAGTTCTAAAAATCAATCCATTGTCTTGTGCGGAGTGTCCAAACAAGCAAAAAACTCATTCCTATAATGAGAGCCATTGGATGAGGCAGTACTCAACATAAGTAGAGACCTCCAACCACAATAAAATAAAATGGCTCAAGGCCTCCAACTCCCTAGATGAAGACCAGAAAGCTGGCTGACAGTTCAGCAGCTTCACATATGTTACTAAGGTAACTTCAGTCAGGAATATCAAAAATGGCTGTAGGCAGTAATACTTAGTGAGCTACTAACAAACAGTCTTATTTCTAGCCTTTCCATCCAGTAAAGGGGATTTTTCTATCAATCAAATGCTCTCAACTTTTCTTAGCAGAACATGCTGAGAAGAAACCAATAAGTGAACCCAAATGATAGGTGATGCTGTGTACTTTGAGGAAAGAACCACTACCACCTTTCCTAGAATAGCTGGGGTACAGTTCAATTTATTTATTTGTTTGTTTGTTTATGTATTTATTTTTGACCCATTCTATCCTGGGTTGGGATTTACCAGAGTAAATACACTGGGTCTTTCAGAGTAAAGCTGGGGTACAGTGAGATTTATTTATTTGTTTGCTTTGCACCACTAGATCCTGAATTAGAAATTCCTGGTGCACTCTGGGTCTTTCAGAATAGAGTTGACAGGAGCAAGCTTCTTTTTGGGAACCTCCCTGAAAGAGTCCTGTTAGAGCATGCCTCAGCTGACTTGCATGGTATTACTGAGTATCTAGCTGGCCCTCAACATTTACACCCAGGCAATTGGTGGTGGGTAGGCTGCTCATGAGAGAGGCTAAGGTCACATTTCATAAGTTTTCTGGCAGCTAAAGACTGTGTCCATACTGAACTGAATGGAAGGAGCAGTCATATACCTTTGTGCATTTACATAGGAGGACTTTGGATAGCCTGGGAAGGGGGATGTTGGCACAGCCATATCTGAATGGAATGGCAGAAGTCACAAAGCCAGCACAGCTGCTTGACAAAGATCCAGCAGAGCTGAGCCACATGATGGCTGCCATGCCACCTTTGGTTTTCATCTCTACCTGTTACATACTTGGGGCACTTTTAATATTTGTACAATTTGAGGATGTTGGATTGATGGAAAATTCCTTATGAATCATTTATGCCTTCTCCCAGGAATGCTGGTTCTAAACTTATCCATGAAAGTCCTGAACATACTATCTCCCCCCTGCCCCACTTTGAGGGAGATATCCTTATCTACTTGAAGGTCTTCCTTATGCCTTGGAGGTTGTGACACAATTTGAATAATAACTGCATCAGCTTTAGCCTGAGGATTTTTCCTGGGCACTCTGACCACTGAGAGTTAGTAATACATTGCTTTGCTTGCGACAAGACAAAATGCCCAGGGTGGTTGAAGATTTTGTTTTGGTCTAATGTCCTTGAAGCAACCAAAACAACCAGCCTGAGCACAGACTGTCATATGCCTCTAGATTCTCAAAACTTGGGTTATGGGTTTATGAGTAAGAATGATAACTCTGTTCTGTCATAGTTTATTAATGATGACTAAAAGATGAGCAAAAGGAAATGAAACACATGTCCAAAACAAAAAATGATATGATCTATGTTTTGGAACATCATGAGTGTATCCCTGCTAACTAAATTCTGTATAAATAAAGAAACACTCTGACTGCCAGTCAGTCAGGCTGCAAGATTCTCCTGACCACCATGGCCTGGATCACTTTCTTCTCCTGCCGACTCCTTACACTCTCTGCAGGACCCACCCACCGCTGTGGGATGGCTCCTGGCAGGATGTCAGGAACTCCGGAAGTGTTGTCTAAGCCCTGTGCCAAATAAATCTGATCCAGTTAGAGGACTCGGCCTGGCTGGACACTGTATGAGAGAGACAGTGGGCTTTTAGAGCTCTTTTGTTGTACGATACTTTGTGTTTTGACAAATAAAGCTTGCATGGAGAAGAGAGGGTGGGGCTAGCCACTATTTAACCATAGTGGCCAAGCAATGATGGCACACATCTTTAACCCCAGCACTTGAGAGGACGAGGCAGGAAGATCAGGAGTTCAAGGCCATCCTGGGCTACCTGAGATTGAAACAGTTTAAGAGAGTCAAGCAGTGGAGGTGCATGCCTTTGATCCCAGCACATGAGAGGATCGTGTCTTTAATCCGGGCAGTAGAGAGGATCTTGCTTTCATCCCAGCACAGGGGAGGCTCAGGGTTTTAATACCAGCACAAGGGAGGCAGAGAAAGGAATATAAGGCAAGTAGAGGTAAGATGTCTCTAGTGGCTGTTGCTCTGCTTCTCTGATCTTTAGGTTTTTCACCCTAATATATGACTAGGGTTTTTTTTTATTGTTAATAGACTAAATAGGATCAAGCTTCAAATTTTTCCTTCATAAGAAACAGCAAGTATTTCAGAACATAGTGGGTCCTGAGAGTGGAATTCAGAAACACAGGGCTCAAGACATGAGCAAGATTATAATTTTCTGGAGTACACTATCTAGAATGGTGATTCCAAAACTCACTATCAGGTCTTCCACAGCAGACTTGACCACAGCCACTTCATGTGAACCAAGAAAATAACTTCTGTACAAACCTTCCAGTGTTGGACCCAGTCATGAGCTCTGGACAAGAAAAACAAGCCTCACTTAGTGACCTTCTAACTAACGTGGAGAAACTGGCCCTTCTACTCTGCCCAGGAGTCTTTGTCATCCCCCTGGTTCTCTTACCTCTTCTCAGCAGAACATGCCCAGAAGCAACCCATAACTCCTTTCAAACACTCTCACAAAATGGCTCCACGCCCCCTAAGCAACCAGGTGTGCCATCTTCTCTCTCCACTCTGACAACCTCTAATGGTAGGAACCTAGCAAAATGTCGCTTGAGGCTCAAGCTGCTGGACATACCTCATGATCGAGATATCAAAGGCTACCTGGAGCCTCACACCTGTCACCTAAGCAGTTTGGCACCTGCTAAGCACCAGGAACATCACACAAATGGCTCTGGGAACCCCAAGTCCGGGACAAACCCGTGGAAACATTTCCAGGGGCTCATTTGTGGCACCTCTGTACCAAGGAAACTTCAAAGAGCCGAGGACCTCACAAAATGGCTACCGCGGTGCCAGAGTCTACCATCCCTCCCTCATACCCATCCCAAAAAGAGGCTTGCTCCTGTCAAATCGACTCTGTAAGACCCAGAGAACGTTGAGAATACCCAACAGAGGATAGTGTGGGGCAAAAGACATACATAAATAAATAAATAAATAAATAAATAAATAAATAAATAAATAAATAAATAAATTTAACTTTACTCCCAGCTGTTCTAGGAGCAGGGATGCACAGGGTTCATTTCTCCAAGTACAGGCCTTGGGCTTCTGAATTCCACTCTCAGAGCCTGTAAGGTCTGAAAAACTTGCTGCTTCTCCTCAGGGAAATAAGCTCTCAAAATCAGCTTGAGACCTATTGTGCAGAGCTCAGACAGGCTTAGTCCTCTAACTATACCAGATTTGTCAGGCACAGGTCTCATCACTTGGGCAGGGCTATAATTTTTGGAGTACACTAACCTTGAATAAGGGTTCATGAGCTCATTGTCAGATCTTTCCCACTGGACTGGACCTGAGCCTCTTCCTGTGAACCAGGAAAACAACTTCTGTACAGACTGTCTAGTGTTGGACCCAGTCTGGAGCTCTTAACAAGAAAAACAAACCTTGCTTAGTAACTTTCTAATCAAAGTGGTTAAACTCTAAT